GAAAATCCGCCCCCCTCGAGAAAATACTTGATCCGCCCCATTTGTGGCCCGGTACTTCATCTCGTAAATCATATTGGGTGGAAGTTTCAGTAACATTGATTACATAAAGCTTCAATTGAAATTAGAAGTAAATCAATGAGTTCAAAACGACGCGTGCTCTTTAATCTAAACATTTTTGAATGTGAACATTAAAACAATACGTAGAAGTCACATAAGTACACTTTTCTCCCTTTTTGATGCCTTTTTTAAAGGAAGTCGGGAAAAAAATAAAAGACCAAATAGTCCTTAGAACTTGTTGCATTCATAAGCACATACATGTGAAATTTTATGGTCGTGCGATTATTTTCCTCAAAAAAGTAGTTCAGTCACAGACAAACACACACACCACTACCATACACACACATGCAAATTTCTTTCTTTTATTATAAATTATAAGTTAGGAAAAGCGAAAGCTTGTCTGTAAAATACAATTAAGCATCCATAACTTTCAATGTTTCATTTTTTGTCAGGAAGGTTGCCCTTGATATGAAGCTAATAGTCGATGGCCAGGCTTCTCTTGTAAGATTCTTGTAGCTAAATAAAAAACTTTTATTTTGCCAGCTCTTCAACATAATTTTAAAATAATTTCTTTACAAAATGTTTACTTAACAATCTCTGCTTTTGAAAGAAAGAGTTAGAAATTTTTAGGACAGTTTATGAAAATAAAGAACTTTTTTCCACCTCAGTACCGATGTCAGTTAGGGTCAGGCGCTATGGTTAGGGCTAGAATGTTTTGTAGATAGCAAAAAGGGTTGTGATTAATGCGTGTTTTTTGTTACAATAATTAACAGGTAGGAAAACTTTTGGCCGCTGATATGGGAAACTGCAGATCCCAGTCGGTTAATAAGAAGATGAGTTAGAAAAAAAAGTCGATCAATGATCAATCACAATAAGTTTTTATGAAATCATCACAAATTATCAGACAGCGGCCGACAAGGGAAGAAGTAATTAATTTACCTTGGATGGCTTTTGGGGGCTTAGGTTTTTTCCTTTTATTTGGATTTTTAACAGCTTTTGACGTTAAAAAGGTTAAGGAACTTCAAAACAATGTTAGAAGTTAAAATGAGTTCAAAAAGTAGGTCAATGAATTATGTTATCAGAAATAGTTTGTGAGCTGTTTTTTCATGGCCCAGATTTTCACAGTGCAGACAGCAGACAGAACAGACAGAGAAAAAAAGAGTTCAACCTGTTCGGCCGTTCAAAAAATGGCCAATCTGACTATTACAGCAAAAAAAGTGTAACTTTAAAAAAAATAAAATTAGGTATATAATCAATTATATTTCTGTTGTCTGCTCAAATTCTTTGCAATTTTATACCTAAGTTGCTTAAATTTCATGTTCTCCCTAGTCGCTTTCGCATCTAGAACTAAGGAAAACTATTTTATCGGGTTTCAAATCATTTCAAGTTTTTTTTTTAATTTATCTCAATTAAGTTTTCTTAATGACGCCGTATTGTTGTTTTTTTTTGCCACATTTGAGTATAATGTTTTAGTTTGACGACAAAATTCTATGATAACAAAATTCTATGATGACAAAGTTCTTTTTCGAGGTAAAATTTTGTGTTCAGAGGAGCTAAAATGTGACAAGACATTTAATGTTTGAGGGTTTTGTTATTAACAGCAATATTATATGCTGCAAAAAACTTTTTATTCGAATATTTTTTATGATCAGTTTCAAAAATTAGAGATTTTTGTAAAGAACTACATCCAATTATACAAGAAATTGTAGTCTCTTGATATATCTCACATTAATAATCAATGTTATATTTTTTGCTCCGACCATTGAAAATGAAAAGATTTTTGTATTCGGTTCTGTCTTGATTTTCAATCCGACCATTGGAAAAATGTAGAGGAACTTTTTTTTCGGTTGTGTTTCGATTTTTTTTGAATTCCACTCAAAATTAGGTACCACAAGTAATCATCAGACTAAGTTGAGTGATATATCATATCAAAACCCTTTTAGTCGTTATTCAAACTACATTTAAAAAATTCCAAAAAAACTGAAAAATAGAAAAATAGTTTAAAATTTTTGACTTTTCATCTTATTTCGAGCAAATAAAGCGAGCGAGCAGTTTTTTTTTAATTGCTTAAGAGCTTACAATAGCTTAATTTAGAATGTTAAGAAAAACCAAGTTTTTACTTGGGTAACTTTAAGGTACCATGAGTAATTTAGCGCCTCTTTGGAATCAAAATTTTCAAGTTTTCAAAAAATTGGAAAAAAAACTTGATATACTGTGAAAAAATGTTTATAAGACTTTGGTATAAGACTGTATAAGAATATGCTACTTACACATAAACCAGCTATTCTTGTGTATATAAACTTTTTATTGCTACTTAACCGGTTTGAGTGAACTTAAATATTACATAATTGTCCGTTATACCCAATAACTTGAGCTTAAACTTAGATGGGGCGTTTATTCTCTTACACTCTAAACTGGGTTATTTTGTAGAAGTTCTTTTGTGGACTATCGCTTCAAGTTTTTTTGAAGTCTTTTCTGCAACCCATAATCAAGTTTTTTGCGTGAAAGTTTTCATGTGACACCAGCAGCAATTGAACATGAGCTAAGGTTTTGAATCGTTTACTAAAGAACAAAACTCAGAGAATAACTGAGATCAAAGCAATAGTTTTCAATACAAGCCAAAAATAACTTTCAATTTAACGATGCCAAGTGTTGACAAAATATAAGTTTACAGAGCTATGATTTTAAGACTTTGTAATTCATTGTACTTTCGATAAGCAATTACGATAAGCAATTTTGATAAGAAATTTCGATAAGCAATACAATAGATTCTTTGAATTTTGCTTCGTCAAAACTAGATTTACTGGATTTTTTCCAGGAACAATTGCTAATTGTTGGTTTCAACTGGATCAGCGATAAATTTGCAATGTTTTAGCGCTGAAAATAAACATATTTTGTAAGCAATAAATCATCGTTTTTTTATCGACGACTCAGTGTTTCTCTGTTATATGAGCAGTTCAATACATTTAGTAAATATTTTCTACTAAAGTACTTTTTTTTTGCGCGCGAGCCCACAACTATCTGAATCTTAAGGAAACCCTTCTAACCCAAGCTCTACGAATCACTTTGAAGTTTTTCTTCCGTTGGTGATCTCATCACGAATTCTTCGCTAAATCAAAGCTATTTTGAAATTGATGTTCGCCGTTAAGGTAGAAATTGAAAAATCATCGCTAACCCATTGATTTCTTTCCTCTGCATCAGTACAAGTTCAGCACAGAATGTTTAAATTCGCGAAGAATGGAGAAGTTGTTAGCTTCCATTGTAAATTCGATCCAAGCGCTTTTTAATAATGGATTAAAATGCGGCTGGATTGAATTTACAATTTTTAAAATTCATCTATCTAAACATTCTTTGCTGAACTAGCACTGATTCAAAATGAAAAAAAAAACCCAACGAATTAGCGATGATTTTTCAACATCTACACTAACAGCAAAATTAATTTTTAAAATATCTTTGACTTAGCTTTTTTTTGAGTTTGTGGTTTTTCTGACGGTCTTTGTGAGTTCGTTTGAAAACTCTCGGTTTGATCTCTGTACACAAAATAGGCTTGTCATATAATTCTAGCCGAAAAATGCAAGTATTTTAATTCCATGCATTTAGTGTAAAGAGAAAAAGCTTATCATATAAATTTATCTAACGAAAATTGTATGATAAGCATTTTTCACCTAGATAGCAAGTTTTTCCAAAAATAAAAACAAAATTTTTTTTGCTGGAAAATCACTTTTTTGGTCAAGCAAATTTTTTGCAGGCAAATTTTTTTGTTTCAACCTTTGAAAATGCGGAGGAACTTCGGATTTGGGTGTATTTTAGTTTTTTCTCCACGCAAAATCAGCTACCACAAATCATCATTGGACAAAGTTGAGTGATATATCATATTAAAGCCCTTCACATCGTGATTCGATTGAATTTTAAAATTTTCAGTGTGGAGAAAAAACGTTTTGAAAAATTTAATTTTTGGTCGAATTGCGAGCTAATTAGTAAGATAGTTACTAATTGCAATAGTTTGTTTAATCTTAATTTAAGCAGTGATCGCTTAGTTTTTCTCAGGTAAAGGTAGTTTATGGAGTTTTTTAGCGCAATTTTGGGAATCAAAAACTTGAAAAATTAAACAATTATCCGCGTTTTTTTGTCATTTTTCCTCAAAAACTGTTTTTCAATTGACTTATTTTACTATGACTCCCAAATATGCCTAAGTTCTATTTCTCCGCTCAGATTTGTTTAATCACAACATGCAGAAAAAAAACGACATCTATTTGAGAAAACATTTTTGTATTTCTTTAAGATTGTGGTCGGAGCATTCTGTGTTACTTGCACAGTAACCGGCTATCCTTGTTGTATTTTGTCTATAAGGTATTGTGAGTATAACATTGGACTGTCTGGCAAGTAATGATAAGACTTATGTATCTTTTCAGCGTCAATATTAATTAATTTCATGTTTTTAAACTGTTAAAGACTTTATAATGATCATGTATCGAAAACAAACTTGCTTATATCAAAAGCACTCTTAACATAGTTTTTTGCCTAACTTGTTGATGAACTAAAGACCTTCAAGTCGTCTCTTTGTTTCTTTTTTTTAATCAATTTTACACCCGAGAGAGTTCTTTTTGCTCCAATTTTCAAAACGAATTATAGACCTTAATCAAGTCTTTTTATTTCAATATTCTAATGAGCAGTAAGTAGACCTTAGAGAATTCCTTTTGTTTGAAAATAATAATTGAACTTAAGACCTTAAACACTTCTTTTTATTTGTTCCAAAATGATGACAAAAATTAATAATGGAAAAAAGCGGTTGGATTGAAATTACAATAGAAAGTTTACAACTCCTTCAAAATTCACCAATCTAAACATTCCTTGCTGAACTACCACTGGTTCAGAGTGAAAAAAGTCAATAAATTCTTCTTGTTTGTTCCAAAATGATTGACAAATTCATTTTCTTTGTTTAGTATTTGGAAGAGTAAAGCGACCACTTTGGTGGCTAGTCTGGCGTCTGCTGATCTGCTCCACATGCTGGTCAACATCCCCGCCAACATGTACCTCCTTCTTAACTACGGGTGGGGACTGGGAGCACTCTTCTGCAAAGTAAAACATTTCTTTCAGGCAAGTCTTCAAAATTAAAAAAAGATACATTTCAAAAAATTTTTAAGCTCCCCACTGCAATATGAAGATTCTAAATTTTCTGCACTGTTGAAAAATTTTGAAAAACAGGCCCAAAAAGGCGTTTTTGGGCACTTTTTGGAAAATTTTGACCAAAAATCGCATTTTTTCGGCGCACTGCCCCCTCAAAGTTAGTATATATTGGCGCCAAAGGGTTCCGCCACCAAAAATGGATAACTCAATATAGTTCAACGGTTGGGCCTTTTCGGTCGGCAGGGGGTCAAATCCCTGAGGGAGGGGGCGTCCGCCCCCGTCCTAAATCCGCCCCTGATCATAGTTCAGTATATTTATCCCCTGATCTAGAATATTTGAGCTTTAAAGCGTTCGGCGTAGCAAATTGTTGAGAAGTTTATTTTTTTGATGTGGTTTTGCGTGCGAGTCTTATTCGTAATTTTCGGTGTAATTTTCTTATCAAATCCTATAAACTGATTTTGGCAGTGGTTCCCGCTATCAGCGTTGTCGCAAAGATTTTGGTTGTATGACGAGCCTTTTCTGTTCTGTGGATAACTATACTAATAGAAACTTCACTTATGATTGCATCTTTCTCGCTCGTTCAGCTTTTCGATTTGCTGATTGGCAGTTTTGTTTTCCCACTGCCGCTTAAAGACAACATGCTGAGTATACGCATAGCAGGGAATCAATTTAGACTAGTACGTTCTTTGCTATTGCTGGAATCGAGGTAGCGGCCTTCAATGAAAGTGACATTGGGCATCTTCAGATTACCGGTCGTAATTGGCGCATGAAGAACACATTACGCGGCCAAGCTGTGGAGTTGTGAATTGTAAGCGGATTCCGCAACAGGCCAAAAACAGAATTGTTGCTATTTTTCCTAATTTTCTTTACTGTTTTGGATTCCAAGGACGAATAGCTAAAACACTGTATTGCTCAAAATTGCTCCAAAAACTAGAAATTTTGCGTAATTTGCAACAAAGTTTGCGGGATCCAGAATGGTTTGTGGAATCCACAAATAAATAATAATATATTTGTTTAGTAAACTTAAGCTGTCGTGGAATCCGCAGCTGTAAGTGGAATTGGCATATTTTAAACTGAATCCGTCAATTATAAGCGGAATCCGCATAAATTTGCGGAATCCACTTGCATTTGCGGAAATTGCTTTACGGAATCCGGAACAATTACCAATATTCGCTCGTTGCGGAATCCGCAACAAAACTAATGTACCGACAAAATTTACCTTACAGATATTTGTACAAGTAATCCACGGAAATTTTGTGAACGGAATCCACTTGCATTTCGGAACCTGTTTTAAGACTTGTCTATGGAAGCCTTGGACCATACAGATACCAAACTTTGCACCTATCCAGTGCACAGTTTGACCTCGTAACGCAAAACTGAACAAAATTTTATTCAGTTGGATCGAAGATCAGTTTACAAAAATCAGAAACTCCCATTTTTCTACTTCCCAAGTTTCCTCTTGTCTATGGATTAGTGTTTGATTTTTAAAAAATGACAAAAATTTCCAAAATTGGGAAGTTTTTGTCATTTTTTAAAAATCAAACTCTTATCCATAGACAGAAGGGCAGTCGAAACATCCAGGGCGTTTTCCAGATGCGAGAAATCTTAGTTTTACCCGAAAAAAGTGTGTATATCTGTGCGTAATATAACAACAAGTGGGAAAGAAGGAAAATTTAAACGAAAATGTTTTTTCTTTCAAACCAAACGTAATCAAGTCAAATAAGTTTTCATTTAAGTGTCATTTTTGTGTTTTAACACGTTTTCAACCAGACACTAAAACATTAAAAGGTAATGTTAAGCGTGTGAAGAAAAAATTTTCACCAAAACTTGAAGAAAATACACATTTTTACTTTTTTCAGGCTGTCAAGTTCTCAATTTTACTTAAAAACGTTTATTCAGCACTACGTCTTACTTTTAAAAAGCGGACAGAACAATCAGCGCTTCACCATGATACGAGCAGTTCTGCTTTTATGTTTTTAAGACTAATCAAATACTGCTCGTATCACAGCAAACCTTGAATATTCCGATTGATCTTTCACATCTATCTTTTATAGAGTACTGTTACCTGAATAAAATTTTGGAAAAAAAAGAAAACATCCAATTTTTTCTTGTAACTTTTTTTACCCTACTCGTAGATATAATAAGCACAAAGTGGTCTTTTATTCTATTATTAACGTATAACTGAAGCCAATTAATTTGCATCAATTCATTTTGAAAAAACTTGTTAAGCAGCTTAGTTAGCCGCTTACGAATTACAAGAGCGCAATAAATTGCACCATAATTTACTCAAACTGGCCATTTTATCAGTTTTTTTAATTCACATAACTTTCTCAATGCTTATTTCGACTAGTTGAAGTTTTATTTATTTTGCCTCAATTCATTTCAAAACAACTCGTGAAAGAGATTAATTTACTGCTTAGGCATTACACGAACACAATAAATTGCACTATAGTTTACTCAAACTGGCCAATTTTTTAGTTTTTATAATCCACATAGAAAAGTCAAAATGCTTATGGCAAAAAAACGCCCGCCTACAAATTTTCTGTAATTTTCTTCGAATGTTGAATTAATTATTGAACCTGTCATTTTGCAATTTGCTTTTATATGGCATCAACTTAAAGTTATTTGTAAATTTTTTCTTTTTTTTCATGTTCAAATTTTTTACAGGTTCTTCAAAAAAGTTAAATAATCAAAGTTGATTTTAAGTTTTTTTAAGTTTAACAACATTCATTATATAAATTTTTTTCTCAATACAGCTGCACTTAGCTACTTTATCGAAAGTCTTTTGTTCACTTAATTATTATCTTCTAAAAATCTGGTGATTATCACCAAATAATTTTCTGCTGCAAGAAAAACTGAATAAGTGTTTTTTTTGAAATTCTGATATGGTTTTTTGACTTCTCCATTTCTTTTGATCTCATGATTCAATCAATTTTTTAGTTGACATTATTTGAGATTAAGATGATAGAAGAACATTTTCCTAAAAATTTAATGGAATTATTTATTGACATTTTGATCAAATTCCTAAAAAAGGGTTGTTTTTCCATCAAAAGTATCTCAAGTAGTTCACGTTTTTCGAATGTCAAGCCTTTTTTTGTAACAAGTATGATGCTGAAGTTCTTTGTTTCATCTACCCTTCAAAAAAAAATTTTTTGATTGAATCAGCTTATCTCTTTGTTTAATTGTGTAGTTTATCAGACTTTTTAGGTTTTGAAATTCAAATTAAATCGACTTCAGATTCTTTAGCTTTGATTTTAGATTTATAATTGGCTTTGAAAAACGCGTGTTAAAAATGACAATTCTTTTTTCTTGCAGCACTCTTGTTTTACTCCAACAACGAACAGCAAGGGTACAAAAAAACAGAAGCTGACGTTTATTGATATTTGTCAGAAACTAAGGTAATTCCTTGCCCCAAATTGTCTCTTTTTTTCTACTTCTTTTTTTACGAAACATGTTTTTTTGTTTTTAAACTTGCAAATGTAATTGTTTTGCATGTGAATCATTAGAGTTTGCAATAAAAAACACTAAAGACCCCGGCTCATGCAAGTTTCCAAGCTTCTGAAAACATACGTAAAATTTTATCCCATGAACAAAATTAAAGCTAAACAAATTTTTTTTTTATAAAATGGTAGATTTTGGAATGAAACCATGATAAAGCGACTGCTTTTCAACGTGCGTAAAGTAAATAAAAGAGATTAATTTTACCAAAAAAATAATTTCATCAAAAATGAAACGAATTTTTATTACAATTAGTCACTGTAATGCAAGGTCAGGTCGCGTCTTGTACTGCTTTTTGCAAAAAAATCGATATCTCAATTCAGTTTGGAAGGATTCGCTACACTTTGGACGACAAAATTGGTGTCAATAACGAAATCTCTCAGCCTGAGATTACTTATCAACAACCAGTTTGGTAAAAGACTCTAGCTGTACAATTTTATTAGCTTTTCAAACGTTCAGAAAATTATATGATAACTCTACGACGAGCATTCTTTGCAGTGCGAAGTTGTGTGTCTAGCTTTTTTTTGCAGTATGAAACTGTTTGAGTAAAATTTCTTTGTTGTTTGAAGATGCTCTCCTCACATGAAAGTTCAAACAAAATATCTTCAGTTTCGCTTTAATTTCTTTTATTTAGTCTTACACATAACAATCAAAAATTTTGGCATTGAAAAAAAAACAAGTTTACTATCAAGAATCCAAAAGTTAAACTGCTAGTAAAATTTCGCCATATTTGTAATTTGACTGACGAAAATGTCAAAAACTTGTAACTTTTGTGTACAGCTATAAGGCTTCTTTTTCGAAAAATTGATTGTTTGTAAATCGGTTTTTCGAAAGAGTTTAAGTTAATCTTAATATATTAAATCAACTCAACGCAATGAGTCACAAAAAAAATAACTTACTCAAATTAAGATGAAAAACTTAGCATGTTCAACATAACAAAATCAAGAAAAAATGAAGAAAAAAAAGCGTTTCTTGTTTTAACCATTTTCAAAACTGCTGGAAAGGTATTTCTCACCAATTTAAATAGGCGACTTCTACAAAAAACTTAGATATTGGCAAACTTGAAGCAAGTTTGAAGTAAAATTGGGCAATCAATATCATCAGTTAATTCAATTATATTTCATAAGAGAAAAATGAAAACCAGACAAAAAATTATCAATTACAATCGCCTCAAACTGTTCCAAAAATTTATGAAACAATAATCGGTTATGAAATAATAACAAGACTGCTCGTATCAGAGCAAAGCCCTGAAGGTTCTGACTGCCTTTTAAGGTTTATGGAGCAGTAGTAACAAACAAAATTAAATGTAATAAAATAGAATGAAAAAAAAATCTAAAATTCGAAATTTTTCAAATGAAGTCATCCTCCCACACGCCATATAAAGTACAAAAGAATAGATTTCGCTCCTTGTAACAAACCAATTATGGCAAATAGGCTTCTTTCAACCAAATTGGAACGATTTCTAAGACGGATAAATCGCCACTTACGCATTAATAGCGCAAATTACATCGAGCGTTAATTGTCCCAAATTGTCCAAAATGGCAGTCTTCAAACCCCCATAACTTTACAAAAACTGATCACAGATAAAATATCTTTTCAAATTTAAGCTCAGGAAAACAATACCTTTTGAATGTTAGAAAAAACTTTCGTCAAAAATGGCTAGTTGAAAAGTCGAAATTTGTCTGAAGACATAAAACCACCCCGGGCCCAAATTTTCAAACCCCCAAAACTTTACAAAAACTGATCACAGATAAAATATCTTTTCAAATTTAAGCTCAGGAAAACAATACCTTTTGAATGATAAAAATTTTTTTGTCAAAAATGGCTAGTTAAAAAGTCGAATTTTGTCTAAAGAAAAAACCCACCCCGAGCACAAATATTGCGTTACTTTCGTTACGAAAGTCGGAACAATAAGTTCATTTAAAAAAATTATCCGCGAAACAATCAAAACTAGTCAATCAGCGGAAAGTTTAAGTTAAATGCGATTAATATTCAGGCTTTCAGACTATAGTTAATTGCTGAAAGCTTGAAATTGAATCGCATATATCTCACAAATAGTCATTAAAAAATAGAAATTTGTCACGATTGTACAAAAATTATTTACTTTAATCAATATAGTCCCAAAATAGTCGCAAAACTATAATAATAAGACTGAAAATTAGACTCGAGAGTAATGAATATGAAACAGATGCTTAATCTAAAAACAAGACTGCTCGTATCAGGGTGAAGCATGAATATTCCGATTGGACTAATTTATCTTTTAAAACAATGATAACATTAGAAAAAAGTTAGATCTAGGTCAAAATC